CATTTTCTCTATCAAACATTCAAACTACAAATCTTTATCGTAACTATTATTGAAAGCAATTACTACAAAAATCGATGTGCCAACATATTAGTGAATCGTGTGGCATGATTTTATATTAAACGTTCAACACTTTTGGTAGGGATCAAATGTGTAATTCGGATAAATCGATAGATAATATAAACAAAATCGAATAAGGTCGATCTCAGATCAAACAAGCTTTACTATTTAGCATAAAAAAATAACATAAAATTATGGATGCATTTGGAAAAAAATGAATATGAGTGGAAGTTAATATACCGTAATTCATTCTATTTCTCCTCGACTGAGATATTACCAATTATTTGGGTAATAATACCATTACAAAATGGAAGTAGTCTGGATCAACATAGCAGATATATTTTTAGGTTTTCAATTCAGTTTCTATAAACATAGCAGATATATTTTTACCTTGTGTTCTACGTTAGAATTGATCTCATGAGCGATGTATGATTCTTAAAACAACCGATAAAAAAGTCAAATTAATCATCCAACCCAGGCCAGCCAATTCGGTAACACTAGCACTACTTTTCATTGTTTAAAGTCAAATTGTTGTAGTTGTTAATATTTCTGTTTTTGTTTGACAATACTAACTGCAACATTTTTGTTTGACTATTACGGGTGGCCACACTGAATACGACTGTGAACGACAACGACAGAGCCGCATTAGACGTTAATTTGGTAACGTTACACACACTATGCGACTTCAAGTCATTTCGTTTGTTTTGTGACTACCAAAATTAGTAGAGGTTTTGGTTGTTTCTGCAAAACATAATTTAATTTACATGCAAATGTGGCATTCCCATGGAACGGAGGAGGCAATAATATATTTAAACAACAATGTGAAACTAAATTGGAATTACAATTAACGTTACAAAGAAAAGGGACAAGTGCTTAATGGGTGCCCACATCTATTGTAGGAATCCCTATGTTATAAGTTACTAGGAAACAAATCCGCGCGTTGCCGCGTGGATAATGGAATTTTTTATTGTAAATATAACTTTTTGATACTTATGTTTACGGGACAATATATTTAAATGTCAATGACTTAAATTCAAACATAAGTTGATAAGTGAAAAATCATTAAATACAAAAAAATAGAAAACAAATCCGCGCATTACCGCGCAAAAAACTGAGATTGTTACGTTCGACAAATAACATATATTTACGATTGATCTTATTGTTATTTTGCTGAATTTAAAGTTAATCCAAGCATGTCCATTCTCACAAACATAAGCTCTAACATCTGGTTCACCATCATCGTGAGACCCAAAAACTCGTATCTGGTATCCAACAAAACGATGAATGCAAATCCCAAGTCTAATTGACCACACAAACAAAACGCATCACGCGCGTACAAAACAATAGTTGTAGCTTCTATATGAAGAGATTTAAGAGTAAAAGACACTTTTTTGCTTCTTGAACGTAGATGGCATCATAGTTTAATCATNATACCGTATATGAAAATAATAATTTCAACAAACAGTAGTAGTAGGGTGCAACAAGTTATTCGGTTTGGATCGGGGTGTATTTTGGCATTCCTTTTTAAGTCCTCTTTCGAATCANCTATCAAAAGGGTTTGTGTTGATCAATGGCTTGTAACATGCCAAAATTTCAGCCTGATACCCATTTTTCAC